TGAACAGTTATTGGACATTCACAATAGGAACATTCAGGTGGTAGTTCTTTTGTTATGAGATGCTGGTGAGTTAACGCTGTGTGTCCAATTCTTAGTCGGTTTATAATCACTTGTTGCCTTCTGTTTTCTGGAAATTGTAGTTTAGTGCCAATCCTAGTTTTCACGTTTTTAAGGTTAGCCTTAGTAGAATTCCACATTTGTTGCCAATTTTTTACACAGTGCTGTTTAATATTGAGCTGGATATCACTGAATGGAATTGTAGTCATAATTTCAGTTTGCTCGTCAGTAGCAGCTTTCTTTGCTAATTCATCTACTTTTTCATTTCCTGCGATACCTGTATGTGATGGTACCCAGAGAAATGTAACGTTCACGTGTCTGTTTTGTAGGTGATAAAGTGCTATTTGTATTTGTTGCAGGATAGCATGTACTGGATATATTTGCCTTAAGCTCTGAAGAACAGATAAAGAGTCAGTAATGATAAGAAAATCTGAGCTTGCATGACTCTTACACATGTCTAAAGCCTTTAAAATGGCGATTGCTTCTCCCGTGAAAATGCTGCAGAATTGAGGGATGCGAACTGCATATTCAGACTTTCCTAGAATAAAGGCCGCTGCGTGTCCGTTTTCAGTTCTTGACGCATCGGTAAAAATCTTGTTATGGCCAGTGTATTCTAATATCCGTTCTTGATATAATTTGTTAATGATTATGGGATTTGTGGTACTCTTTGGATAGGCCGTGAGGGATAGATCAATAGTGGGAAAATTAATAGTCCAGGAAGGTATAGTTCGTTGTGTAGGGTAAGAATGTGTGAGCTGCTCCATGTCAAAACCGTATCTCGTTAGAGGTTCTTTAAGGGGTGGATATTTAATTTGTTGATGGCAATGAGTAGGTGGATATATTTTATAAAGAAGTGGATAGTTTGTGTTATTAGGGTTGGAAGACAATCTCGCGGCATAATTTAAAGAAATGTGTTGTCTTCGTATTGATAGGGGAGATTCATTTAGGATAACCTGAAAACTTGAAACAGGACTAGTTCGGTAAGCACCCAGAATTAGTCTTAAACATGTGTTTTGTATAATGTCTAGTTTTTTAAGTATATAATTACTCGCAGTTGAATAGCATATTGCACCATAATCCAGTTTACTTCGGATTAATGATTGGTATATATGCAGCAATTTTATGGTGTCCGCTCCCCAAGATCGGTTTTAATTAAGTTAATTAAGTTTTAAAAAGTTATTAATTAGTGAAGTTTCATAAAATTTCCAGAAGTGTTTTTCTCGAAACTACATTATTTTACATATCCTACTGTTGCTTTGAGGCAATGATATAATATGCAGCAGATTTGTGGGTTTCTTTATAAATGCATATGCTATTTAAATTTACTTGATTTAGAGCATATTGCCACATATTTGAAAATATCAAATTTCTTGGAATTATTCATAGCAGGTACTAGGTAAGGTAACTACGAAATAATTTTATTACAAATCTACTAAATCTACAAGTTTTATTGTTTTGGAAAACCCATCTGGGAATTATTTATCAGAAGAATAGGGCCAACATGCAGGTAGGTATGATACAGTAAATTCGTTTTTAAATTCTCTTTACCAGCTGGGAAAGCAACTTGTGAATGTGAATATTGAGCTTATAAAATAAAAATAATTTCTTTTTTGAAAATATGCCGAAAGTAGTGAAACAAAAATCAAGTCTATTGCGGATTTGGGTTGGTGGTAACAGTGAAATGAAGATTATAGACAATGAAAGTGTTTACTGTACTATTTGTGATAAAAGGTGAGTACACTTTTATTTTAACGATTCAAAAATTTAATTTAAAATTCATTTTAAATCACAAGAAAATCGGTATACCTATACTAAACATGTAACAGTTTGAATATTGGCGGTAGTTTTAGTTTCGAGAAAAAAAAATATAAGTTATCTTAAAAATTTGAAGTCCATATTATTGCATTAGACTCCTATTTACTAAACCGTTTTATTACAGATTCCATGTGAAAAAAAATTCCAAATTTCCCAACACCTGAAAACGGCTCTCCACCAATATAAACTATCTAAGGACTTCAAGAAACCACTCCAGCAGCTTCTGCAGAACAACATTATTCAAAATCGTCACACATCGACAGGGCAAGAAATGTTTGCAAAAGATGTATGCAATTTTTTTGTAAGTTGCAATATCCCACTGTATAAATTTAATAGCAAGGTGTCTCAAAATTTTTTGAAAACATATTATAAAGTTGAAAGTAAGTCAGTACAGGTACTAAGTTCTTCAACTCTTCGAAAGAAATATGTGAGGGCATCTTACAAAGACGTTATTAAAGGTATTAAAAGCCGGGTAAGAGATGAATATCTGTGGATATCTGTCGACGAGATGACTGACGCCAAGGATCGGCCAATCCCGAATTTAATTATTGGAGTTTTAAACAGTTCAGCTGATGGCTCGAACAAGTCGTATTTAATAACGTTAAATGTTTAGAAAAAACCAATATGCAACAATTGCTCGATTTGTTAATGAATCTTGGACAAATTTCTTTTTACCGAATCAAGTACCTTCTGAAAAAATTTTGCTACTAGTTAGCGATGCTGCTTCCTACATGGTTAAAGTTGTTACTAGTAGATTTTTTTCCGAATTTGATTCATTGTACATGCTTAGCGTGTTCATTGATATTTTTTGATATATATTGGAATCCCCTCATATGTAATATATTGAAATCCCCTCATATATGCATTAAAGTAACGAAGAATTATTTTAGTGTATTTCATTTCCTAATCGTACGAGTTAAAACCTAAATATATTTCAATTCCTTCTTAGGTCGGCTCGAGTTAATATAAACCATTTTAGAGTTGTTTATTATTTTACAGATGTGTACTTCCTCGGTATTTCTTTCATGTTATATTCGAACTGCCTGATATTGCGTTTTCAAATTAATAATTTCCGTTTTAATTTTCGTTGTATTATGTTTATTGCAAGTGTCTTGTTTATTCTAACTTATGTGAATTAATTTTAAAGATAATTTCACCACTCTCGTTAAAATAGCTGCCAGAGGCAGACATTTTAGCTTGAGTCCAAATTTTTCTTCAAATTTATAATGTCCTTTTGTTCTTCGTCCTACATGGAAAATAATTATAGTAGCGGTTAATAGTAGCAATTTAATGGTAATTGCAGTCCAATTCTACCTGTCATAGTTTCTTTAAGAATAAAAGTTTCGAGTTTTGTGTTAAATGCCGACTTAATAGTCAGTCCAATTCGCAGTGAGAGATGCAGTCCTTCTGTTCGTGTCTTCGTGTCCAGAGAGTTCAACCCCAGTTATAGTTGCAGTTACGGTTCCAGAAAATTTAATGTGTGATCAAGTGAAATTTAGGTAACTGTGTATTAATTTTAAAGTAAAGACAGACATTTTTTTAATAATTATAATAATTGCTTTAGTTAAAATTTAAAGGATTTTTAATAACTAATAAATTGTAAAATTTTAGGGTTTGACTTTAGCTGTCAATTTATTTGTTCAGTTTTTTTAAATTTAATTTTAATATATCACAGCTAGTTTTATTATTGTTTTTATTAGTTTGTTTCGATTTTTTTAAATCAAATAAAAAGGATAAATAATGCATTTTTGTATTATATTTGTGAGTATTAATATAGTGTTTTTATATTGTCTATTTTTGTAACTATTTGTGGTGACACAACAAAAAATGTTAAATTTGTTTTCTTAATATTCTTAATATTTCTTGCAAATAATTATGTTGATATCAAAAATGTTATATCGAATTTTGATCCGTCTTGTTGTATTGATGTTCAGAAATGTCAAAATAGTGGTGGTGAGAATTCTATTCAGAATGAACTGTCCAACATAAAAGCAAATTTTGACATAATTGTAAACTCTATTACAAAATTAGAGAGTCAAAAATTATCTTTAAATGATAGTCTTTGCCATTGGTTTGTGTCTATGGTCTTTGCATTGTTGATTCTGTCAAAGAAAGAATAGTAAACCTTTCAGGGACAATTGAAAAAAAAAAGATAACTTTAGTGAAGTTTTAAACCGGACTGAAGGCTTTTCTTTATTGCGATCAATATATAACATACGAAGCTTTAACGAAGTTATTAATATCGATCCCTCGCTAGTGTCAAATTTTAGATTTGCGCCAATTACATCCTGTGATGTTGAAAGATCGTTTTCCTCATATAAACACATATTATCTGATAAAAGGCATAACATTACTCTTGAAAATATTGAACATTTTATGATTATATTATACTGTAACAGCAAGAACGAGGACATTTTCTTGTGAATTTTTATTTATATTTTTTTATTAAATGTAGTAATAAATAAACACTCTCTAAGTTATACTATAATTTTATTTCTCACCAAATCTCAAGCCTTAAATTTAAAAAATATTTTTTTAAGTGCATATATAAATGCATATTGCATATAATAAAGGCATATTTGGTTACTTTTTAAGAGCATGTTACATGTATATTTTAACCATCTTTTAGAGCATATAATCCAGTCTATAGTTATAGCTTAGACCATTAAAGCTATATATAAGCTTAGACTATTAAAGACACTCCGTATCCTATACCCGTATCCGGCTTCAAAGAGTGAAGCCAACATAAATTGCTTTTCGCAGCTCTGTGTGACGTCAGTATATGGCAGAAAACGTTACATACTAGAAGTTTTTGCTAACTTTTTATAAGTATTAAGTTCTAATATAAAACTTTTCCAAAAGATTATAAAAGTAATAAAACAAAAAGTAGTTGAACTTAAATATAAAGGAAAATCATGTATCTGTGCGTCGATGGTTGAAGGAATGTCTATACATCAGAAAAGAGAATGGGATGGTGAAAAGTTTTTAGGGTAGGTTTAGCTTAGCATTTTAGCAATTATAAAAAGTATAACATATATTTTCTATTTAGATAATTAAAAATAACAAGCCTAAAACAACAAGGGAAACGTTTTACGACCAATTATAACAAGGCCAGAGAAAAGATGATACGAATAGGCAACCAAGTAATACCCTGCATCAAACAAAACATAACGAGAATGTTAAACACGAAAATGTAGAACTGATGATCAACTTCTGCACGAATAACGAACTAAGAATAAACTACACATTTTTTGACCACAAAGAACAACACAAATATATATTTAATAACACCCGTGGACAAAGATCTATGATAGAATATATTATAACCAACAGAGATATACATATGAACAAATCCCCTTCATTGACTTAGTGGAGTTGTTCGTTCAGTTGTAATGGAAACACCAAATAATAGTAGCAGAGTTTATTGATGAGACCTACACTATGGGTGTTGACCCGGGATTACTTTGAGTAGAGACTGTTGCAGTTCATCGCTGAAGACTATCAAGTTTGTTGAGTGAATATTGATTGAATGCTTCTCTAGGCAAGAGATATTAGTTTTATATAAGTTTTAATTGGGTCAATATATTCGCGGGCCTCGCGTGATATGTGTGTCTAATTTATGTAAATTCTTCAACTTTGTCAGCACTTTTGACTGATGTCCAAATTATATTGTTGATAATAGACCAAATCCGTATGTAACCTAATTAACTACGTGTGTGTATTTAATAACAAATAAATTCATTCGGTCTACTGGGTGATAAAATTATACTGTCCAATTTCGGATATGAATTCTGAAGATTTGATATTGTACAACATCCATCAAAATTAATTGACGTAAGATGTCTCAACTCAGCAGATGTAGGTAGCGACCATAGCCAGTATTATGTAAAATAAGATTAAGGTAAAGTCACCCAATACCGACCCATACAAAAATAGCACCTATTACCGATCCAAATGATTAATACGAAATATTAAGCTTTGTGGATAAAAGGAACGTTGTATTGTCACAATTTCAGTCTACTCTCCAAAATCACATGAAGAATTTATTCGTGTCTAGCACAAAAGTACCCGAATTGATGTCATTTGAATTAATTTATGGTCAGATTTCGTAGAGTTCAGGTTACGTGCGCTTGTGATTCATTAAAAGGGTAAGTACACAAATAAAGAAATTAAGCGTAAAATCCAAGTAGATATTTTTATATATTTATTATAAAGTTTGAAGACATTTCCAGACATGTTGTCTATAATACAATGTAGTAATTTTTCGAAGATTTGCAGTACTTAATGAAAAAATCGTAAAAATATAATGAGTCGGTAATAGGTATAGATATTTCTAATACCGACCCAAAGTCGGTATTAGGTTTGGAAACCTTTATTTTAATAATTTATTATTTTGCTTTGCCGTGTAGTTGTACCGTGATTGTTCATTTCTTAAGTACAGATACTATTAAGTCGAGTTTTTTTCAATTTCCGACCCATGATTTATAATAGTAACCTAATATTCTAAAACTTTCTTTGTCTGGAGAGACAAACATGTTAATATTTTGTTAAGTCCAATAACCCTGAATAATGTAGTTAATATAGATATAACTTTTGATATATTTAATTACGGTAATTGGTAAAGTCTTGAATTAACAAGAAGAAGGCGTTTCAGTCATTTGTCTCAAGTTTTACACAGTCGGTATTAGGATAAGTGCGACCATATTTAAATCAATTTACCGACCTATTGGGTCGATAATAGCAAATACCATAGCCTAATACCGATGCATTAAAAATGGTGTTATGGCACCAAAAATACGTGTACAATATTCAAAAGAAAAATTGTCTAGCGCCTTGGAAGCTATAAAAAATGGGATCTCAGTTTACAAGGCATCTAAAAGATTCGGACTGCCAAAGACCACTTTACGGGATAAACGTTCAGGAAGATTTAAAAATCCCAAATGTGGAGTGCAACCTGTGTTTGCCGCCAATGAAGAAAAGTGTGTTGTGGTTTGGATTTTTTATTTGGCGAAACAAGGGTTCCCTGTCACAAAATCCCAATTAATACACACAGTAGCCAATTTGATTAAAAACTTGGACCGACAAAATCCATTTAAAGATGGTATTCCCGGAAATCACTGGTTACAAAAATTCATTGAAAAACATCCTGAAGTTAGTACAAGAGTGTCCCAAATTCTTACCGCAAGTAGGAGGAATGTTAGTGAGCAAAGTATTAGAGAGTGGTTCAGAAAGGTTGGGGATTATTTCATCAGCAACAATCTTATGAATATTTTTGAGGATGAATCCCGAATATTTAACTGCGATGACACAGCCTTTCTTTTATGTCCCAAGGGAAGCAAGTATTAGTAAGAAGAGTAACAAAGCTGGTGTATAATAGAATAGCTAAGTCGTTTAATAATAAGTCGTTTTATTTTCCTAAAAGATTGGAACAATCGACAAACAAAAAAGTTACCAAAAGAATTACCCCTACCCTTGCTACGTCTGACGAATTTATCGAGTATCAGAGAAGACTTGAAGTCGACCGTGAAAACAAAGAAAATGAGAAAGGAAAACGAAAATTCAAAAAGGAGACGAAATTAAAACTAGAAGCAACCCAAAACGCAACCGTAGCAACATCAACGGAGAAGTCTAGACAAAAGCATGCGACTGAGCCCGAGAAAAAGAAACCGAAACTAAATAGTTCACAAACCCCCAAACTAATAAACAAATTAAAAAAACATATACATAAAAGACGATTTTGTTGTTACAATATTATATGAAGGACGACTTTCCTATCAATTGTTTGTGATATAAATAGTAATGGAGCACAAAATGAAGTTATAGTAAAATCTATGGAGGCAACTGGACCAAATTGGAAATGGCCAGAGAAGGACGATATATTAACTTATAAAGTAAAGGAGATTATTTCCAAAATTGAACCCCCTAAATTAATAAATAAAAGAGGTATTTGTTCCGTACCGAAAATGAAGGAATTGACCAAAAATTTTAGCAAATCTTAAACTGTCTTAAACTTTATAATAGTATTTTGTATAATTATATTTTTTATAATCAAAATTTGAGAAGGTAATAGAAATTTTTTTTAGTTTAATTTCATATATTTTATTTGCTTTGCTTAATATAATAAACACTTTTTTATAGTCAAGGGTGTTTTACTGAATATAGACGATGTTGATAACATCTGTTGTTATCTCACAATCGGTAATAGGTTATAAAAAATCGGTAATAGGTAAAAATATTACTATTAAGTCGGTATTAAGAAAATTTGCTCGATTTTGATTTAGTATTTTTTCTTAACAATAAAAATTAAAATTTGGAAAAATAATTTAATTATTTAGAAACATAATATAGATGTGTTCAGATAAATTCTACGAGATTTTTGTAACCATAAAAATATAAAAATAATCCAACGAAATATTTAACTTTCCTTAACTGGTGCGGTAATAGGTGACTTTACCTTAATCCTGAAATACTTTCCACCCAAGAGAGCGGCGTCAACAAAAACAAAAATCAAAGTCGAAGGACTAAATACAGATTCGACGTAATACTTATACAGGATAAGAACATCAGAGAAGATCACTGGGAATGAAATATTAGAAAACGATAACATCGAGGAAAGCTGGGAAAAACTAAAAAATAATATAATTAACGCAGCAACAGAATCACTTGGAGAGAGGAAAGTAACAAACACTAACATCAAAAAAGAAAACACCATGGTTTGGAGAGAAAGTGAAGACAAAATGTGAAGAAAAAAAAAGAAAGCCTTTTTACAATACACAACACAACAGGCATACAACCACTATAATCGAATCATAAATAAAACGAATACTTTAGTTAGAGAAATAAAAAAGGAACACTAGCAAAGTTTCTCAAAACAGATGGAAAACGATTTCTACGGAACACAAAAAGAAATATGGAGAATGATCAGATGACAAAGAAAAGAGATGAACAAAGTAATAAAAACAAAACACATTCAGAAGGAAACATGGGTAGACTACTTTCGATCCCTGTTTGCTAAAGGTGACGATGATGAACCACCAACACCAGAGGTGACGACAAACGAAAAAATAAATATTGAGGAGGAAGAGGTAATGAAAGAATGAAGGATTTAAAAAAAATAGAAAATCACCAGGACAGGACAGAATATCAAACGAACTCCTAAAGTACGGAGGACCAGATCTGACCAAACAACTTCAAAAAATAATATAATAAAACAGAATTTCTCAAGAATGAAGATCAAGCATCCTAATACCATTCTTCAAAAATGGAGACAAAGCGGACCCGAAAAATAACAGAGGAATTATTCTATTAAATACAACACTAAAATTACCAACCAAAGTGATAACAAATAAATTGAATGATATTATAACACTAGCAGACGAACAACAAGGTTTTAGGTCGGGAAGATCATGCATCGACGATATATTTATAATGAGGCAAGTGCAAGAGAAAGAATACAACAAACCGGCATATCTATGTTTCATGGACCTTACAAAGGCATTTAACCGGGTCAAATTAAAAGACGTTGTCCACTTACTGTATGCAAAAGAGATACCTCTAGGAATAATCAAAACGATCAAAAATATCTACCAAAATAACACAATAAAAGTAAAAGTAGAAGAAGAAGTAATCGACCCTGAGTGGTTTATTGTTCAACCTAATTTTGGATAATATAATAAAAAAAGTAAGAACTAAAAAAGGATACAAACAAAGGGATAATACGTGGTTACAACAGTAAAATTTACTAAGATGTAAATTAGAGCTGGAAGGTCAGATAATAGAACAAGTGATGGAGTTTAAATATCTAGGCATCACATTACCTAGCTACGGAAAGCTCGAAACCGAAGTGGAAGATCAAGTGAATAGAGCAAATAGAGCCGCAGGCTGCCTAAATGAAACAATATGGAGAAATAAAAATATCGTGAAAAAAACAAAAGGCAGTATTTACAAAACAGTCATCAGACCAATAATGACATACGCGGCAGAAACAAGACCTGACACAGAGAGGACAAAAAGGATGTCTGCTAGAAACAGCAGAGATGAAAACACTTTGTGGTAAGACACTATGGAACAGAGCTAGAAGTACAGATATACGACATAGATGCAAGGTGGAAAACATCAAAAACTGGGTAAGAAATAGAAGAATAGAATGGAACGATCATATAAGTCGAATGACAACAAATAGAGTAGTGAAGACGGTTCCCCAATAGAAAGACGATCAGTAGGAAGACCATGAAAACGATGGAATGACAACTTACTGGAAGCACATTGAAAAACAGACAGAGTCATGTCTATATAAAAAGAAGAAGAAGAAGAAGATAATTGAAAACCTTAATTGTAGGTTTTTTGACATAGGAAGTAACCCTCAAAGCTATTCTTTCAAAGTCAAAGCAAAACGAACCATTGTATTTTTAATTAATAGCTTAAATAATACATGGAAACTACCAATAGGCTACTTTCTATTTGATGGTGTATCAAGAGTTTAAAAAAGTAATCTGGTAAAAGTGTGCTTAAAAATATTGCACGAAGTTGCTGTCACCATCACAAGTTTAACGGTTAATGGTGCAGCATCAAATATTAGCATGGCCAATCATCTTAGAGTTGATTTTCATATTTTTTACATCCAGTCGCAAATCACCCAATGTATGTAATATTTGACCCTCCACCTGTTAAAGTTTATTTTTTTATGGTAATAATGAAGCGATTAGATGGCAATATTTAGAAAAATTAATAGAAATTTAAGAAAAGGAAGGACTTTATCGAGCAACTAGGATAACCCGAAGGCATATTAATTGGTTTAAAGAAAAAATGAAGGTGAAATTATCTGCTTAAACTTTCAGCCACAAAGTTTGTACGGCATTAAATTATTTAAGAAATAAAAAATACTCCAAGGAATTTAAGAACAGCAAATCTACGGAGAATTTAATCCAATATATTAATGAAATATTTGATTTTTTAAATGGCAAAAATTTATTGGCAAAGCACTTAAAATCCAGCTTGAAACAGTATAATAAACACGCTATTTTTCAGAAAATTAAAGAATCTATTAAATACCTCTATAGACTTGAAAATTGGAACATGGAACATAGGAAGTTTATATCTATTAAGCAAATTAGATAACAGTATGTCAGAAATGTGCAGAATAAAGATTACATACTGGAGAACACCAGAAACAGAATAATCTTCGTCTTCTTCTTCCTTCTCCTCTTTATAAACAATTCAGCTTGTTCACTGGCGGATTAATACCTTTATGAAGTTGTCACTCCATCTTTTGCGCGGTCGTCCAATACTTCTTCTGCGGATTGGTGGCCTATCTCTTGCTATTTTGACGACAAGTTCTATTCTAATTATGTGATTATTCCATTTTTTTTTTTCTATTTTGTGTCCCTCCATTTGTACACTGTACGTTACATTTTCTTCTAATGTCTTCACTTCTCTTTCGATCCCTCATATTTTTCGTAATTCCTCTAATTCTTCTCGGTACTATCATCTCTGCTATTTCCAGTAGCCTTTGCATTGTGGCTGTTGCAGTTTCGCAACCATACATAAACATTTATTAAATATGAACAGCCTTTTTGTTAGTTTCGATTCTCCTCGTAGTATATTTAAACCAGATTTGCCTATACGAAATAATGCAGCTATTTTAAGAAATAAATTTTCAAGAAGCCATCTGCCAAATATCACCACATATGTGTGTACCTAAGATAAGGGTTTGCATTCCATATACAAGGGTCGAGTTTTGTCTTTCAACCCAGACACATGTGTTAAGAGTACCTGACTCAGCATCGGTCTATCGACCGAGAGAGACGTCAAAGAATGTACATTATGAATTTTGTGGTTCCAGTGTCGCTGAAGACATAATTTGCGATAGCGTTGGTGCTATCTTTTCATTGGGTAAGGAACAATACACCATTAATTTCTTGCTGCATATATCAAGTACGTGCACTGTGTATATTTATTTGATAGTTATTTGGAACTTCATCGCATTTGTGCCGCGATCGCGATTAAACCTTGTCAATTGGACATTTTGCATTTGTTTCGGTTTATTTACTTATTCTTATATTTGTATTTTGTTAACACCGATTTATTTCATGCGTGATTTGTATTAATAATTGTATTAATTATTTGTATGCACCGCATTATTACTTGTTTTTATACCATTGACATATATATCCATATTTTTATGTTTTTTTTTAAATATTATTAATTTGTCTTATCTTTTATGTATAGTATGTTTGCGGCTATGGCTATTATAATGGTATATTTGGTATATGTATATTTATGTTTTTATTTCATTGCTTTTTAAATAGAGTTTTATACAGTCCACTGGCTTTGATTTCTTTTCTTTAGTTGAATATACATACCCATTTCAAAAGGGGAAAACCAGCGATATCTGGATTGAACAAAATATCTTCTCTCTCCCTTTAGGATGACCCCAATTGTTATATTGAGGTCATCGTATGGGCAGAACGCAACAGTGGCTGTGTAGGGTTTTGTTTCTGAGTTATATGTCATTATTGGTCTTACACTGGCTTTATAAATTCTGGACTTTATCTTGGTGTTAATGTGTCTATTTTGCCATATAGTGTTATTAAGGCATCCTGTTAATCTATTTGCTTTTTGTACTTGATCTTTCACTTCTTTGTCCAGGTCTCCATAGCTAGACAGTGTAATTTTCAGCTTTTTTATTTACATGACTTGTTTAATACTGATGACATCAATTTCTATTCTACATCTAGTTGGTTCTTTGCGGATTGCCATTGTTTTAGTTTTCTGAGATGAAATTGTTATATTAAATTCTTTTGCTCTAATATTAAATGTGTGGACCAGTCTTTGTAGACTATCTTTATCTTGGTCTATCGATATTGCGTCGTCTGCGTAACAGTAGTAAGAGTATTTTGATTTCTTTTTTTTCCCATTATGTATCCTCTTCATTTTTTAACGGTTATGATTAAATTGACAAGCATGGGGCTTAATTAATCACCTTATTCCGTTGCCTATTTCTCTAGGTTCTGTAAGTTGACCATCTATTCTGACTTCCATTTTGTTGTTTTGGTAGATTTTCGATAGTTTTTATAATATTTATGGGAACTTCTCTATTATACAAAAGATGGATTTTTTGCACTTGCAACAAAACAATAAGACTTTGCCCTGTTGTTCATCTGATAAACTTATCCTCTGATTTATTAGCGCTTGTAAAATTTTAGTTGTAAATTTTAGCGTAGTATTTAACAAGTTTATAACTCTGTAGTTTTCAGGCTGTTTTTTATCTCCTTTTTTGAATAGTAGAATTAGTTCGCTCGTTCTCCATTCTTCCGGTATTTTATTTTGTTTTATAATTTTAATAATTAATGTTGTTAATTGTTCTGTCATTGCTGCTCCACAATATCTCAATAACTCATTTGGTATCTCGTTTTTACCTGCTGCTTTTCTGTTCTTCTGTTCTTCAGGTTTTCAAGTATTTTTCCGAACTTCCTGTACATTTATAATAAGTTCTTTATTTGTGGAAATCGCTGGTGTTTCCGGTACTAGCGTCGTTTGTTCTTTCTCTGCATATAGTCTTTTTAGGTAGTCAATTCACGTAGTATCCTTTTCTATGTGTTTTGGTTCTATTAGTTTCTTTACCTCCGTTCCTTGACCTCTTATGTAGCGCCATATTTTCTTTTGCAGACTGTAAAAATCATGTTACGTTTCTTT